CGTGAGAAAAGGGGAGAGAGTAGAGGGCTTGTACGAGTTGATGACCGAACGTCAACGAATCGGATGTAGTTAGCGTGCCAAGGCCCTTTAGGCTTGCGCCTCCGGGCGAAATAAATTCCAACCAACCATACGTTCTGCAAGATGGCCCGCCGGACGCTCCGTAAGCCAACGCCAGCGCGGGTCGCGACGGCGCAGGCGCGAGCGACCCTGCCGTCCATCACGGTACTTCCGATATCTTTGGGTGATCTGTGGAGTGCTAGCCCCTTTTTTGCATTGTGTTGCCGAATGTTGCTTTATAGGTTATCCCAGCAGCCAATGCCCAAATCAACAATGATAGTCATCGAGGTTGGAAGATCCCCTGAATTTGGCTGTCTCTTTCCGCAGAGTGTTCTAAAACCAGTAGAGAAACGTGATCTAGCACACGAAGACAGCATTGTCATATCACGCAATGACAACGTTGACAGAGAGTGGATCGACGATAAACCGTGCCGACCAGACCAAGCGCAGCTCTACCCGGAACCATAGGCGCAGTACTCGCGGCGGACCTGGCTCTGCCTGTGGGAACACCCTGCGACCCGGGGCCTGCGCCAGAGGCGGCATTTGATCCAGAGCTGTCCCCTCCATCTCCCGCAGCGGAAGTCGGCTCCGGTGACTGCGCATACCAGTTGTTCGCAGAGCAGTAGCTGTCGTAGACAAACTCGGCTCTGGCAATAATATTCTCGTTCTATCGACATTTCCTGCTGACACACGACGAGAGGATCTCGTGCGCATTGGTGTGTAGGTCGGGCCGCAGTAACAGTTGTTGAAGGCCAACTTGGTCGACTTGAGCGTGCTGATGAAACATTTCAAACGGCTTCCAACCCAGTCAGTGATGGTGTATCTGTAATCTTCTCCGATGGAGCAACTCTGAGCGCATTCGCGAAGCCTGATGTAGGCTGGATTCTCCCAGAAGGTTTCCACGCCATCTTGCTGCCCTGCTGTGACGCATAAGAAGCTGGAAAAAACCAGCCAACAAGAGTCTCGAAAAGAGCTGGGCGCATGTCACATCTTGGTCGGTCTAGGGATGGAGATATTGACGAGTTCAAATCTCAAAACGGGGAGGATAGGCAGGATGGTCAGCCCGGCGACAGGATACCGTACCTCGATCAAGCACTCAATTAAGTCCGCAACTTCGTGTTCCAAGCCCATGGGTTAATCACCGTTCAACCCCTGATAGACCTTGGCAGTGGATGCTTGCCCCATGACAACAGAGTGCATGTTTCGGAGCAGATCTTTTAATGTCTATTCAGCCGCATATGAACTCGATGATGAGCCAAGCCTCCATGCGTCTAGACTTCGACAACTCGAGATAGCAACCACAATCAATTGTCTCTGATGTGTGTGCCGCGGCTTGGAATAAGATCACCGCGGCTCTACGTCACCCCCTCGGTCACATGATACCAATCCGACTTGATCAGGCCTAATACCTGCGTATCCACGATGCTGGAGGATAGAAGACAAGGCTCACAAGGCACAGTGCTAGTGGCCGTGGCTTCGCAAGTACCAGGCCAGAGCATCACACCCCGAAAACCTTGCAGCTGCTAAGCAGATTCAGATGCGCGCTCCAGAACCACACATCCGCGCCAGGCTTCTTGGCTAAGGTAGACCGAGGCAGAATTTCCAGTTTCCGTGTAGACGAGGTAGACTCCGATCCACTCGTTGGCCTCCGTTGCAGAATGCAGCTTTTGGTCAAATCGTGCTCAAAGTATCCTTCGTGCAAACTAAATGCTGTAAAACCTCAGTAATCCAGCGCTGTTTTTGTTTGATACCTGGACTTACGTGGCACATACCACATGGCAGGCCCTGGCCATGCGATGCGGAAGTGGCAGATGAAAGCCACTACAGGCATTTGGGGAGCGTCAACGGCGTGATTCCATGATCCTTCTACTCACGGACGTGGGCTAATGAACAAGCTCTAAGCGACAGCGCGGAATGGTACCAGCATTGCTTCCAGAGAGAGGAGAATTGCGCGAATGGCAGCATAGAGTATGTACTGACTTAGCATAGTATTGGAAACAACACAACATCTACCTAATTAGTACCGATGGCCTGGTTGATCCATTTCCACATCTTGACTACTCTCCGGCGATCGAGCGGTTGTACTTGACGAATCGTATCAGAAACCTGTCTCGTTAGGTCCATGTCGAAGTTAGGTGCAGATGACCTCGTCCTGAGTTTCGACTCAGTGTGTCCGCTTTTGACAAAGCTCTCTTTCCACAGCCCCAGAAGTGCATGCGAGGGATGGCTTGCTTCTCCTCGGTTCGCGGTTTCCAGCCGTTCAACCCATTCAGAAGGCGAGACGATCGCAAACTGGTCCGCTCCAGCGTCCTCTAGAATCCAATGCAGCATCTGATTCCATGTCGGTGTCTTGTGTGGATTCAAAACGTGATACACAGGTGGCCCTTCGCTGCCCGCTTCGCTTGCATCTCCCGGACCACGACGAGACAAAGCAATGTCAAGCACTGCTTGAGCTGCCATATCTACTGGCAGCCAATTCAGCCCTTGGCCCGGAAGATCCGGCAAGCAACCCGTCAGTTTGGCAGTCGACAGCATCAGCGGGTAAGCCTCGCTGGCATTCCATATGCCAGCCTCGTTGCTACAGAGCTGGCCGGCACGGATGACTGAAATGGGCGGCAACATGAAATCTTTGCCGGTTTTGGTCGCCAATGCGTCGTGGGCCGCCGCACAAATGTGTTCTGCCACCCACTTCGACCGCGAGTAGCCCAATGGGGAGGAATCCGAAGGATCTTGCGAGAGCTTCTCCTGAACGCTGGTCGACTGCGAACAAGCCACTGCGGCAATGGAGCTGACAAAGGCGAAGCGTGCGCCGGCCTGGGCGGCCATGTCAATGAGGTTACGCATCCCCATTAGCTGGTCTTCGAGTGAAGAGAGTCTCAGGTTGAAGTTGACTGTCCAGGCGGAATGGATAAACAGGGTTGCCTCTTCCGTGATTTTCCGTCTGATTTCTGCTGAAAGACCCAATTCGCTGTTGGAGAGACGACAGGGCAGACAAATGATCTTCTCATGTTCATCAGGGGGTTCGCGAAATGGATCCAGACCTAGCATGCCGCGATTCGAGAGTGCCATGGTAACTCGTTGGTGCGCTGCGGAAGGAGTCTCTTCGCGGACAAGACAGTACACTCTGCGCACCCGGCCCTCGTGGCGGAGGAGATGCAGGATGTACGCACCCAGAAATCCAGTGGCGCCCGTAAGAACGACAACGTCGCCTCCTTTTTTCTGCCATGTCCCGCCTTTAGGGTGAAAGTCGCCGTATTTGTTGACAAACTTTCGCATCAAATCCTGTTGCGCGCCGTCTCCATCTGTGTCATAGGCATGCATCCCGCGCCGCAGTTTCTGCAGATACGCCACCACAGCGTTGATGGTGCCGAGGTCGTACAGAACATTGATGGGGAGATTCTGGTGTGCCTGCGGTAAGCAAAGTGACTCGATTGACTTGCGAATTTGGATGGCAGCGATGGAGTCGACGCCCTGCTGATACAAGTCCACGTCTGGATCGAGGCTGCGTCCCAAGATCCGGGAAAAGCAGCCCAACACAGATTGCAGAAGTTCGGTATCCGACGCCTCCTGCGGCAGGGACTCTTTCTCCTTGCTTTGATATGCCGACTCAATGGCATCTCGGTACCGCTCCTCGACCTGCCGTCGCAGAATCGTCCCCTTGCTGCTTTTGTCCAGCGGTCGTCCGTCGGCAAGACGCACTGGCACCAGCATCGTCTTTACGATGCGTGCATAGCTTTGCGTGTCTCTGTTCAGCTCTTGAATGGTAGGCCAAACTGCCTCGATGAGATCTGTGTCGGCCACGTCGTTTTTAGAGGGAAAAAGAAGTAATCCGGTGTACTCCTTGCCATTGCCGACGATGACCACGTCCTGCAGTAGGTTTGTCGATGCCAGGATAGCTCCCTCAAGTGGTGCTGGATCAAACTTCTTCCCGTTGACCAGCGTGATCTGCGCGTCCGCTCGACTGTGGTACCGCCAGGCATTAGGAATAGACGTGTGCGGATCGAACAGGTCCGAGGTGGCATAGGAACCATCGCTGCGATTTGTCCTGGCTAGAAATGGCCAGCATGGTTGGGCGACGAGCTCAGACAGCCTGCCCTCGCGCGGTTCAAAGGTGAGCATGGCTGTGTCAGTGATGGGCAGCCGCAGGTATTGCCACTCTTTGTCCTCAGCGTACTTTCGGTGCGAAGACGCGAGAAACCCACACTCAGCGCTCCCCAGGCGCGACACGAGGTTGACACCCGCTTGCACTAGTTTGTCGCCCACTGCTGCCGGAAGAGCGGCACCCCCGACCCCGACTAAGTCCATCGTCCGGAGAAGCTGCACCCCCTCATCCGCCTCAGCCATCATTTGGAGAATGTACGGCACCGACGTAAAGTACCGAACAGGCACGGTGCTTTGCTCTCCCGCGAACCGGATTGCGTTCAGCAGGTTTGCCCTGGTGATGGGGAGGACCCCCTCGGGGAAGAACCAAACGGCCGCGCCGCTCGCCCAGGCCCGGAAGCAGTCGGCTAAGCCGCCATGGTAAAGCGGCGTGGTCGTAAACGTGGCCGGTTTGTCGTATCCTGGGAGGCGTGGGACAACGCCAACGACGCCTTGGTGTGTTTGAGGGATTGGCTTAGGAAGTCCTGACGAGGTACCGGAAGTGTGTACGTAATAGGCGATTTCGGAGATCCCGTGGCTCCCCTCGATAGTTTCCAGCGCTTCCTTGGCGGTACTGTTCCCATAAAAAGGGATGCTGAAGGTTTGGTAGCTGTCTAGAGATAACAGCCTCTGGAGATGCCTTTCATCGCTAAATATGGCATTGGCTCCCGTTGCCTCACAGAGGTGGTCGATGGCTAACGGCTCCAACTGAGGCCTGCGAGTTTTATGAGCTATCAATTCACAGTGACAGAAGTAAACAGAAGGAATCAGCAGCTTACGCTAAAAGTAGCACAGAATAGCCCAGACGCACAAGTCCGAACCAAGTCAACACAAAGTCGAAACTGCTTGTGCACAGCAAGGCGACGGTACCTGGCGGTTTCGTGGCCGGTCCGAGGCAGCGGTCTAATGAGCGGGCCGCAACATGGGAAAGGAGGTGGAGTTGAAGAAACGTCAGGGAATGCTGGCCTGCTAATGATGAGAATAGGTTTTTATTTGAACGTTAATTGAACGTTTAACTTGGACTGTGGTTTATCACCCACATGTAGCGGTGGACGCTGGTTGCGATTGGAAGTCGGCGAAACCGAGAGCAGGACTGTGAGGGAAGTCTCGAGCCTGTAGGTCCACCAGTTCAATCACCGTTCGAAAGGAACGGGACGCTGGGTTCTCGTCTTTCCTTTGTGCAGCCTGCCCCAACGTGCACGTGAAGTAGTTGAGATCGCCATTGACGACGCCCATGGCAATGGATAGGACAGTGAGAACAAGATGCTGACGATCTCCTATAGAATTTGAAACTTTCAAGTATTCCTGAGAACCTTGGATCCTCAGCCAATGTGTACCGCACCGCCTGGCAGGCACGAATGGAATGTATGATGTCAACGTGACGCTGGCACCGACAAGAATGGTGGCTCTAGCGGGGAAAGTGTCTCCAGGCTGGACAGTGGAAAGGGGAATAGGAGAAGAGACTCGCTTTGACGAGTACTATATTAGTAAAACATTGCTAGGGATGCAGATGATTCAGTTGTTGGCCCTGACTTTGGTGCGCGATTCCTTTCCGATTCTGCTCCTCTCAACCTGCGGCTTCTCCTGTTCTGCTCTCATCCGGACACAATGGGACCCCTCACGATCAACACGACATTACGATTGCCCAACTCGGTCGAAATCCCGCAACTCGGGTTTGGCGTCTACCAGTCACCGCGGAATCTGTGCATCCAGTCCTGCCTGACTGCGCTGCAGAACGGATATCGCCACATCGACACAGCACAGTATTACGGCAATGAGCTCGAGGTCGGCCAGGCTGTAAAGCAGTCAGGCCTGCCCAGGAGAGATATCTTCCTCACGACCAAGATCCTCAGCGCCGCCGGTTCGACCGAAGCGACATACCAAAAATGTGTCGAGAGTGTGCAGAAACTGAACCCCGGGGCCGAAGGTTATGTTGATCTTTTTCTAATCCACAGCCCCAATTGCGGCGCGGCACAGCGCAACGAGCTGTGGCAGGCGCTGGAGCGGTTGCTTGACGAGGGCAAGACCAGGAGCATTGGGGTAAGCAACTTCGGTCTCCGACACATCGAGGAACTCAAGCAGTTTGCCAAGGTGTGGCCGCCGCATGTCAACCAGATTGAGGTCAGTTATGGTGTATTTCTTTGTTTCCTTCTCTAAGGTTAACCTGTCAGCAGTTGCATCCCTGGCTGCAGCAGAGGGAAATCGTCGAGTACTGCCAGAAGCACGGGATCGTGGTAGAAGCCTACTGCCCGCTGGTGCGCAACACCAAAGTCGAGGATGCAACGCTCGGCGGCATCGCGAGAAAGCACTCGACTACACCCAGTCAGATCTTGATCCGCTACTGCCTCGAAAAGGGGTGGGTACCGCTTCCCAAGAGCGACAATCCAGAGCGCATTCGAGCAAATGCCGAGGTCTTTGGCTTCCGTCTCGACAGCGAGGACATGAATGCGTTGGATGGTTTGGACCGGGGGCCTGCGGGAGCCATTGTGCAGGCCGTGGAGAATTAGGTCTTCATTCCGAGACTCGTAGATTTCCAGGTTCGCATCCTCTAAAAGAAAAGGGGTTGGGGTCGCCCATGACGTCTTTGAACACCTCCTCCGCACTTCAATGACATCTCATCCGGTGCCGAGTGCGCATGCCAAGACATCAACCCCGTTCCTTCTACCGGTTTCAATGTGCGTTTGAGACATATCACCAAGTCAGCCGACGGGCGAGAAAAATGGCAGTGGACAGCGGCGCCAAACGCTATGCCTACGTGACCTTGATAACACGCCAGTCTTACCTGGCCGGGGTCATCATCTTAGCCTACACGCTGGCGCACCATGGTAGCAATTACCCCTTGGTAGTCTGCTACACCCCTAAGCTTTCTCGAGACGCAACTCGCGCGCTTGAGCTGGAGGCGCCTCGGAGCCACATGGTCCTCTGCCGATGTGACCCTCTTCTCCCGCCCGAGGGAACGCCCATCAACCTGATCGCCGAGCGTTTTGCCGACACATGGTCCAAGCTGCGCGTATTTGAGCGAACATTCGAGTATGACGCCGTCTGCTATCTCGACGCCGACATGGCCGTCTTCCAGAACATGGACGCCGTCTTCGCGCACGAGGCGAAGCTGCCGCCGGACGGGCTCCTAGCAAACCACGCGTGCGTCTGCAATCTGGAGGCCGATCCCTGGGCGCCCGACACCTGGCGGCCCGAGAACTGCGCCTACACGCCTCTGTCCCACCCATCCGCGCTGACGGAGCCCACGCAGCCGCCGACGGCCGACGACGGCCCCGAAACACACCACCTGCTGAACGGGGGCATGTTCCTGTTCCGCCCGTCGCCTGCACTCTGGGAGGATATGTTGGCGCTGTTCCGCACCACGCCGTTGCTGTCGACGTTCCGGTTCCCCGACCAGGACTTTCTGGCCCTTCTTTTTCGGGGGAGGTGGCGCGCCCTTGGCTGGCAGTACAACGCCATTAAGACGATGCGGTACTGGCACCCTAATATCTGGCACGACGAGGCTGTCGTGTGTCTGCACTACATTGTGGACAAGCCTTGGACGAAGCGTATAGGGAGGGATGGCGTCGCGGGCTACAAGGGCCGCGATGGGGTTACGCACCGCTGGTGGTGGGACGCCTACCAGGCGTGGGAGGATGATCGGCTCAAGAACGGTGCTGGTGATGGAGCGGAGACGGTGGCTCTGGTCCGGAAGGGTGTCGCTCCACCCAGATGGGAGGGCTCGGAGGAATGGGCTTTTGAGGGGGACGATCCTGATATGAAGGCGCTTGGAAGCAATGTGCAGGGGATGGCGTACAATAAGACGTTTAGAGCTGGCTGAGCGTAAAACAAGGACAGTGTGCGCAACGCTTCCTCCTTTCGAGCATCCAGTCATCATCTCGTTTGCGGAACCCTACCGCCTGACCAGGCTCATCAAGCATACCTTACATATCATCCCATCCTTCATACATGCTGAGCTCAAGCCGTTTCGAAACCAGCTTTCTCGTCCTCGTCATCGGCCATCCGATCCCTTGGCGTGGATGACTTCCCAGCGCTCTTAGAGCCCCATCTCCCAGTAAAGAAATCTCCGAGGCCCTGCTTAAGATTTCTCACGTTCTCCGCAACAATGTACGATGTCGGCTTCTGGAATAGCAGATCAATCTCCTCCAGCGTCTTGTCCTTGGTCTCAGGCATGAACAGCAGCTGGTAGAACCAGCCCACAACGGCAATGCCGCCGTAAAAGCCGAGCGTCAGGCCGGTGCGTGTCATGGCCTGCTGCATGGCCGAGAAGTTGTACGTGACGACGAAGGAGGCCAGGAAGAGCAGGGCATCGGACGTGGTCATGCCGTACGACCGCAGGTACGTCGGGTACACCTCAGAGGGCACGACCCAAGTCAGGCAGGCGTAGCAGCCGAAGAAGCCCATGTAGAGAATCAGACCGATGAGGTAGCAGGCCTCGGCTCCCTCGAGATTTGTGTCGAGCGGGATTTGATAGCTGACGCCGATGACGACCAGGCCGATGAAGAAGCCCGGAAGCATCGTGTTGGCCCAGAAGCGGCGGCCGTAGCGCTCCATCAGGAAGACGGCGGGGATAGTGCCGACCAACAGGGAGCCGCCGCCGATAAGGGACATGTAGTTTGCCTTTTCCTTGTCGAAGCCAATCTGGTTCATCAGCACCGACATGTAGTACATGATGGCGTTGACGCCCGTCAGCTGGCCAAGCAGGATCATGATGTTAGCGTAGATGAGAGCGCGGCGGACGCGGGGTACCGTGAAGAAGTCGAGCCAGGGGAAACGCTTGTTGACGGCGCTCTCGGCGACAACGCGCGCCTCGTGCTGCACCGACGCTTTCATGACGTAGAACTCGAGGCGAGACTCGCGGTCGTGGATGCCGCGGATGCGCTTCCACACGCGGTAGGCATCCAGCACACGGCCTTTATGCATGTGGAAGCGCGGCGATTCGGGAAGGAAGAGCATGCCGATCAGCATGATGGTCGAGAAGACGAGTGACGAACCCAAGATGTAGCGCCAGTTGCCGGGGACGCGCAGGAACATGGCCGCCACGGCGTAACCGAGCACTTCGCCGAGGGCGATGTTGAACTGGTACAGCGAAACAAGATTGCCGCGCACCTTGCGCTCGGCCGTCTCTGCGACGTAGACGGGGACAGTGCCTCCTTCTAAGCCGACGCCCATGCCGAGGATCACACGTGCAGCGATCATCATGCCTAAGAGGGACGAGGTCAGGAGGTGAACTTGAACGATAGAACGGCAGGGGAGGGCCTACTCACCATAGTTAATGGCTCCAGCCTCCAGGGCGGCGCCGACGGTGTATAGAATACAGGAGATGATGATGGACCAGCGACGACCAAACCACTCGTTGGAGGGCGAGAGAAGCAAGGCGCCGCCGACAGCGCCGAGCGGCATGGCCGCGTTGACGAGACTGTTCTGCCTCGTGTCTAGCCCCAAGTCTGTAGGCAGGTACAGGTTGGCGCCCGAGATGGTCGACTGGTCCAAGCCAGAGAGGAGACCACCCATGGAAGCAAAGGCGACGATGACCCAGGTGAAGTGTTTCGGATTCTTGAACTCAAGTTGAAATAATCCCTTGCGCAGCCCGCCCTGTGCGGCGAGCTCGGCCTCCATCTCGTCGATGAAAGCATCGATCTCTTCGTCGCTGGGTTGCCCAAGGACCATCACATCATCCTTCGGGTCCCGACTCGAGTGCGGGAGCTCGACCTGGCTATCGCTAGCCTTGGTCGCCATGGTCGAGATTGGACGTGGAAAGACACTAGAGGGCTGCTGGAAATCCAGGGGGGGAGGGCTTGAAACTGAAAGCTTGGGGGGATGAGTGTCTTGAGCAAGGTATGATTGTGGTCGGGGTGATTGACGGGGAGATATATACCTCACGGCAGTAGGCTGATCATTCGCAGCTTTCCGTTTCGTGTCCAACGGCGCTGTTGGGGAGGACGAGTAGCGGTCGTCGAACCATCTTGAACCTCCAGCTTCGAAGTAACATGATGTAGAAGTCGACAAGGAAGCTTGTTCCGAAGTAATGGCGATGCGATGCCCGCTTCCATGCACCTTTCACTCCACCATTTCCCCGGCTGCCCCCAGAAGGGGCACACCGGTCTCCCCACGATCCCCAACATCTCCAGTCGCAACCCCGGTTTGTTACGGATCGTAGCCTGAATTGTCTGGAGGAGGTTGGAGCCCTGCAGGATAGCCCAGGATGAGGCTTTGTGAAACACAGGGGCCGGCCCGACTCTGAGGCGACTGGAGATGTGTGCCGCACCGGCATTCGCACCGATAGTGCTGTGGCACCAGGAAGGACCTGGAGCAGACAGCCATCTGCCAAAGCTGAAAGCTTGATCAATAGGGTCGCCGCATACTCAAAGCCAGGTCTTGCCACTGCTTGCTGCGAGAAAACTGACTCTGCTGCAACTGTCTCCCAAGTCCCATGAGTGGCCAGAGATTCCTTCTCGAGCAGACGATTCAAACCTGCCAGCCTGTCATCCGAACATCACCCGAAAAAACAAGCCTTTTTCGCCGAGCATTGCCGCTTTCAGCCCTGTGGGGTGAAACAACACGACTCGTGGGTGCTGTCACGATCGAGTAGATCCAGCGTTGCGGTCGGCCCACGAAGAACCCCCGTCGAGTTCCCACCCCACCTCCGCCCAGTTCCCACTCCAGCACCGAGAAAGCGCCGGCAGGAAACAAACCATAACCTGCAGCATCCGAGATATCAACAAGTTCGCGATATCGGGACTTGGGAGCGAAGACGTCCGGTCTTCGGAGCGTAGCGCAAAACGAGGGGCTACGTCGGGAGAATGGACGGTCCAAGTGATCGAGAGACAGCAAAGGCTCGCCTGCTTGTGCGACGTCAATTGGGGTGACTGGGACGAGATGGATGATGGTGCAAACCACGGTTGATAACCCAGTTTGTTGGTTAACTTTATAACACCCCCTAAAGCAGCCTATTTACTTGAACTAGTCGAAGCCGATTCTTGACTACTTGCGTAAAGTCTTCAAAACCGGCGCCTTTCGAAAGCTCTGAGAAAACCTTATCTAACTACGCCGACTGCACGCCCGCGCACTTTGCTGCGTGGCCGCGGTGGGTGTGGAACGTAGGGCGATTCGAGGTGCTGCAGACATCCCGAAAAACTCTCATCAGCGCACGGACCAACAGGTCACCTGACTCCCACCCACAGTTGCCCAGGCGACCACGCCCAAGTGCCCCTGACGACGATGCGAACATCTGGCAAGCAGCGAAATACCTGCAAACCGGCAGTGGCACAATGGGCGACAAAATACCGCCGCTTGTCCGAGCTGATGGTTCTATCACAGAGGGCAAGGCAGAGCAAGCTCAAGTGCTTCTGGCCACCTTCTTCCCACCGCTGCCAGCCA